CCCAACGTGGGGTCAAATTCATGACCCCGAGATCAAGACCCCTAAACACATGTAAACTCTAAATTAACAGATCAATTTGATTAGAGGAAGTCAGCAATGACTGAGTGCCTACCATGAATGAGATACTCTGCTACTTGAAAGATCATTTCCTGTCCTGAAAGAACTTCTCTCTAGGGGAAGACAGTGATACAGATGGACTACTGCAATTCAAAATCCAATGTAGTAGGTGCAGTGACAAGACACATATAAAAATGATAGGAGTGCAAATGTTTTTCAGGGGTGGGGGAGAGAGTGGAAAGGAGTACCAGAAAGGCTTCCAGGGAAAGCTGATGCCTCATCTGGGTAGGGATTCACCAGGAATAGTAGGGAAGGATTCCTGACACAACACAAAGCATAAACAAAGATACTAAGACAAGAAATAGCATAGACTCAAGGAACCACCCTTGGACACAGAGATCACAGGTTTCCCTTGAAACTTGTGGTGTCGTATTGGGGTGCAGACAGTTCATTACAGAAAGAATTACACATCTTCACTTATATGCCCCTCTATGTTGTAAAAGAGTACCTAGAACCAGCCACATATTGGCTTAGAAGCCTTCCTTTTAAGGACATCTGAGGAATGTGGTGTGGCAGTGCATACATTTCAGGAGTCAGCTTAGATTTTAAATCTTAAACTCCATTCACTAGGTGTGTGACCCAGGTAAGTTACTCATTAAGCATTAACTAACTTATCTGTGAATAGGAATGAACTTCATCTGTTTAGAGTTACTACAAGGTTTTCAAGATGTATGTAAATCCTTTGTGCCTGGCATTTTATAGGCACTGAATGCATGGAGGTTCCCTTACCCATTCTCACGATTAGTTCCAAACCAGGTTTTCTTTCCCTTTTTACCTTATCACAGGCTGGACCTCATTTGCTGGGCTCTATAGTTTGAGGCCCAGTCTGTGTGCCTGTCACCCATTTTTGGGCACGTCTTCTCTGAGGGCTGTGCTAGCCCTCCTACTCCCATTTCCATCTTGTAATTTCCTTTTCACTTTCTTTTTTTTTTTTTTTAAAGATTTTTATTTATTTGTTTGAGAGAGAAAAAAAAGAAGAGGACATAGGGGGAAGCAGACTCCCTGCTGAGCAGGGAGCCCGATATGGGGCTTGGTCCTGGGACTCCTGGATTATGACCTAAGCTGAAGGCAGACGCTTAACTGACTGAGCCACCCAGACACCCCTCACTTTCTGTCTTTAAAGAGTAACTTTCTTTCTTTCCTTCTCTTGCCCAGTCTGTGGAAAACTTATTTTCCTGTCCATTATGTCCCACTGAACATACTTTTCAGTGGCTACCAGTATGCCCCATAAACAACATGAACCCAAGGCCCTTTCACTCCTATGGTGGTAAAAACCCTGCAAGTCACAGTTACATTTAGTGCATATGTAAATATCCTATAATTGAGCCTTTGTATGTATTTGGTATCCTGCTGACATTCATCATTGCCACGTAAGTAATTTACCTGCCCAGAGGGAGGGCTCTCCTTAGATGTGTGGTGTTGGGCTCCATGGAGGCACTCTTCTCTTAGCTTTTCCAGAGAGCCAAGATGAGACACTAACTCAGCCAGTGACCTTCTGCTGTTGAACCAGTTTGTATTTTACTGTTTAACTGATCAATATTTGGGGGGCTTAATTTGAATATTGAACAAAACATGAAATTAATGGTTTTGACTTCTCTTTTGAGGAAATAGACCAATAAGGCTCCCAGAAAAGAAATAGTCACAATTCAAACAAATGGAAAGAGGAAAGGCTGCCCCAAAGTAAAACCTAGCTGAGTTTCTTGGTTCAAACAGCATTTATCTGATGGATGTTTTGGTGACAGATGTTAACTAGGCTTATTGTGGTGGTCGTTTTGCAATATACACATATATAGAATCATTATGTTGTACACCCCAAACCAATACAATGTTATCTATAGCTCAATATAAAAAACAGCATTAAGCACATATATACTTCATGTAATGTGCCAGATGCACATATATATCTCTCCATCTGTCCAAAAGAAAGGATTACCTTGCAAGGCGGTTCTGAGGATTAAAGATATATATATATATATCTTTATATAGATATCTGTACATATATTATGGCATTGTGAGGTAATCATTTCCATTGGACAGATGAAGACACAGATTCAGAAAGGTGAGCAAGCTTGTCTGTGGCTAGGATGCTCTTAAGCAATAGAATGAAAATGTGAACCCAGGTCTGGCTCAAAACCCAGGGTGTTTCCACTCACTGGTGTGATCTATTCAAACCACCAGCCCCCTCGACAGTAATAATCATGTTATGATAAAAGTTGTTGCTAACATTTATCTAGATCTTCTCACGTGGCAGGCACTGTGCTAAGCAATTTATGTATATCAACTTTTTAATCCTCACAATCACTGGTAGTTTATCAAGACCTCCATTTCACAGCTGAGGAAACTGAGTTTTACACAAGTTCAGTAATTGCTTTGTTCTCACAGCTGGTAAGGAGTGGGGCCAGAGTTGAACCTGGGTCCGATTCCAGAACCCATTCTTTCCATCCTTACACTTGACTGCAGGAAACTCAACTCTTGTCCTGGTTCCAACCAGGCAAGTCATTTGATAGTTCTGTCTCAACTTCATCGTACCTTAAATGGGGACACTGTTCCTTGTCCTTCACAGAGACATGGGAGTTTTAAGATGAGAAAGTGCTGAAGCTTTAAGAAGAGAAACTGCTACGTAAACCTAGACATGGTCAAAGTTTCACTCAGATTTTCCCTCTCTGGTGATCACAAAGGGATTTAGCTGACATTGTTTACTCTTAAACATCCTCTCAAGTGGGTACTGAGTATTATCTTCACTCATCAGAAAGCTGAAGCATAAGATGACGTAATGTGCTGGTCAGCCGGTGGTCGAGCTGGGAATAAACCCCCAGATTCTAGCTCCCACTGCTTATGTTCTTACCATCAATCCTACTTCTGCATTTCAAACTTAATTGTAAAACAGATGAGGGCAGAAACATCAGTGTCCACTTCAAAACACAGATTAAATACTTACAGAAATTAAATTTTCTACTGCAGTGACACTAATATAACCCCAAAGGCACTTATCCTCATTCTAGAGAAGCTGGATGAAGAATCAAAAACAAAAACTTCCATTTCTGCAGTAAACACTTCAGCTCCTTAGTTTCTCAAATAACTTATTATTAATCAAAGGTTTTCCAAAACTGGGTGAGTCATTACCTAGTTTCAACTAGTGAGTCTGTAAGCTTCCACAGGGAGCATAAAACCTCAGTATTAAACTGTTCGCTCGTAAAATCAGAAAAAAGCATCAAACAGATTTTCACATTATAAACATCTCATTTAACTATATAATTTGACTTGGAAATTATTCTAACATACCAACCTGAGCTCAAAACTCAATTTCTAAAGTGAATTGCCTAATTAAAACAACAAAAGCACACACACTGCACTTTTATGATCATTCTTCTCCTGTATAAAAAAGTAAGTTTTGTGCTTTCCACCCAACCTTTGCCACAGACACACACAAACCTTATAGTAAAATAAAAAGTAGTACTGGGGCCAATTCTCTGTCTTCAATAGGGGATGAGTGTTCAGCCTAGCTCCCAGATTAGGAGCTCTTCCTAATTCTTGCTTTCTAGAACAACACAAACATCTTCTAATTATTAGGAACTTGATAATCACATATTCTGAAATTACCGCAGGGACCAGAGAGGAAATAAGAGAAAGAAATTTCCACTCTCACTATTGAACTAAATACTGCAGTCCATAGACACTTCATTGTTCCTTTCTATGACTCCCACCGAATTAGATTTATAAATGAAAAACCTGCCATTTTGTTATAGCGAAGAGAATTAAGTTACAGGAACCCAAAGAGCTATTCTCAAATGACCAGAGTTTGCTTCTTGGGTGGCTTGAGAGGCCCAAATTCACCCCTAGCTGCACAATACAAGTCCAACCACCTTCACACGTGCTATGAGGCGAAAGTAAAGGTTGACGTGGGGCACTCGGTTTTCTCAGAGGTTGTTTATTTGATCCATTAGTCCAACTTTCCTTTGAGAAAAATCTTTGTCTTGGTTTCCATCACTGAAACCAATCACAGCTTCTGTTGAGTCAGGGGCTCTAAGGTCTCTCAAACTTGAATTTGAGTGTGAATCACCCGGGGATCTTGTTAAACTGCAGACCATGATTCAGAAGAGGTCTGGGACCGCGTGCCCAGCAAGCTCCCAGGTGATGTCAGTGCTGCTGCTTGATGCATACACTTTGAGTAGTAGGAGAGTAAGAAATGTTTCCAAATAGAAATAACCTCAATCAGATGTTTATTTTTGAAAGAGAGAGCCTCCACCAGGACTCTGTAAAGGTAGAGAATATTCCAGAGCCTAAACAAGGTACCTGGTCCTTCTCCCTTTTCTATGATTTTTACGAGCTGGCTGTAAACCCAATATGGTACCTGAACAAAGGGCAACTTTTTAAAATGTCTTTTGTGTTGACAGTTTATTACTGGGGCTTGACTTGATGGGGCTTCTATGGATGAACATAAAAACTTCAAGCCTTTTGTAATGCAAGGGGTGATTCAAAATAAATATTTTTAATTATGTCAAATACTAATGAATAAGTGATGTATAAGAGAATCACTTGGGATTAGTCATTTTCATTTCTCCCACAAAATAAACAGCTCATGTAGTAAAGAAGACGCCTTTCCTTAAGCAGGAGGAAAACTCAACAAAAATAGTCATGCCTGCGGCACAATCACAGTATTTTTAGTGAGGAAAATACCAAGATTAAAACATACAAAAGCATACGAGGAGAATTATATGATATTAAATGTGTCCCTAGAATCTGGGGAGAGTTCAGAGGAAAAGAACAGCTGGTAAATTTTGGAAAGATTTTAACTGGAAAAGATTACACATGAGAGCAACAGTCCATTCGCCTTAAGAAAAACAATAAACACCCACAAACTTTCATTTTCAGGTTTTCAGTAATTTTTTTGTTTGTTTTTTTTTGGTATGACCATTAGACTAACCTCCCCCACAAAATTCAACCAGCCATCATAAAAATTAAGCTGTGGACAGGTCCAGCTGGCTATATCCCATGTTTACCCTTCAATGCTTCTCCAGCCAATGACGGTAAAATTCATGGTCTACACAGCAAGAGTAAAAAGAGAATCACTTCCCTTCACACAGAAGGAACCCCCCATCTGGAGCATCTTTCTGCACTTTGCAGTGTGAGGTGTCTCAGTGCTTGTGGGCACTCTTCAGCCCCATAACTGTGAAGGTAGCAGCCGTCAGTTTCTCATAAACCAGGAACATGAGAGCAGCGGTGAGGACTGTCTGCAGCAGTTTGGCTTCAAGGCCCTTGTAGAGTCCCATGATTCCAAAACGCCTGAAAGAAAAGAGGTTTGAAAAAAAAATAACAGGTTTTCTTCATAAAAGTCAACTCCTGCATCAAAGAAGCAGGCTCTCATAGCCAACGCTTATCCCCAGGGGAATATGTTCTGATTGGATGCCTGAAACTGCGGTTAGTACTGAACCCACTACTTTTTTTCCTATACATACAGAACCATCCAAAGTCTAACTTATAAATTAGGCACAAGAAGAGACTAACAACAATAGCTAATAATGGAATAACAATATACTGTAATAAAAGTTATGGGAGGGGCGCCTGGGTGGCTCAGTGGGTTAAAGCCTCTGCCTTCAGCTCAGGTCGTGATCCCAGGGTCCTGGGATCGAGCTCCGTCATAGGGCTCTCTGTGCAGCATGGAGTCTGCTTCCTCCTCTCTCTGCCTGCCTCTCTGCCTACTTGTGATCTCTGTCTGTCAAATAAATAAAATCTTAAAAAAAAAAAGTTATGGGAATGTGGTCTTCCCTCTCTCTCTAGTTTGGACGAATTGAGATGCAGTGAGGTGAACGATGCAGATACTGGGACATGGTTAGGTCCTACTGACCTTGTGACGTTAAGTCAGAAGAAAGATCATGGGCTTTCAGACTGTGGTTGAGAGTGGGTCGCTGAAACCATGGGAAGAGACACTGGATGAGGAGGGGAATACTACATTTGCATTTTCTAAATTTTATATAAGTGGAATCATACGGTATGAATTCTTTTTTGTCTGACCTCTTTCACTTGGCACAATCATTTTGAAATTCATCCATGCTGTTCTATGTATTAGTACGTCCTTTCTTATGTGCTATGTAGACAGATAGTCACTTGTGTCTCTACTAACCCAGTGACGGGACATTTGTATTATTTCCAGGTTTTGACTCTTAAAAATAAAACTCCTATTAACATCTGTGTACAAGTTTTTGCACAGACATATTTCATTTCTCTTGGGTATATAACTTGAGAGGAAAGGCTAGGTCCTATGATAGCTGGATGTTTAACTTCTGAAGAAAATACCAAACTTTCCAAAATGATTGGACCATTTTATTTTCCCACCAGCAGCACACAAAGTTCTGGTTGCTCCACATTCTTGCCCATACTTGGTATGGTGAGCATTTAGTTTTAACTTTATGCCAGTTCTTTATGTTTGATTTTTTCTTTTATCCCAAGCATATTCTGTTTTATAATAAATTTATTTACTTTCAACATCCAGGGACAGTAATAAGAGTTATAGCAGCTTTTGCTTCAAAGGAAGCCCCTGACTTACTTCACACCCCTGAGATTCTCTAAATGGAATCTGTAAAAAAGTGTGAATCTCTAAATAAGGCCACTGTCAGGATAAAGTGAGATTACCCATTTGAAGCACAGAGCTCAGGGTCTACCACAAAGCAAACACTCAAAAATGTTAGCTACTCTTACCATCAACAGCACTGCTGTCATCATTACAATAATTACTGTTACTCTTCCTAACCCCCCTTTCTATGACTACTACTCTCTATTATCTGTTTATTTCTATCTACGAGAGAGCTCACAGGATATGCCACTGACAGCAGCACTACTGTTGCAGAACAGTCTCTACGCTAGGAGGCTTCCTTCTCTAAAGGAGTTCTGTACATTTCTAAGTTACAAAGACCTGAAGTTTTTCCGTAATTTCCCCAAATGCTGCCCTAAAACGAGAAATGTCTGAGCACAGCACACAAGGAGAGGCTTCTAGGCTGCCACTGCCAAGGCAGTAGTGCAAGTTAAGCAGATCCGGCTACTCCCTGGCAGAGATGGCTGCTGAAAGGACAGAATGTGAAGCATCTACACAGCTCACTTTACGGCACACCTGGGCAGCTCAGTTGTTAAGCTTCTGCCTTAGGCTCAGGTCATGATCCCAGGGTCCTGGGATCAAACCCCGCATTGAGCCCCACATCGGGCTCCCTGCTGAATAGGAAGCCTGCTTCTTTCTCTCCCACTCCCCCTGCTTGTATTCCCTCTCTCGCTGTCTCTGTCAAATAAATAAATAAAATCTTAAAAAAAAAAAAAAAAGAAAAAAACTCACTTTACTCGTTGGTGAAGAAGATAAAGAACATTCCGAAGACTCCCCAGTGTTCTGTTTTCTGGGTTTAGTCTGTGACGTCCAAACTGGGGAAGAAGAAAAACAGATGAATTTCTACCTGCGGAGGAAATTATGTTGGAATAATGTCTTATAGTATACAGTAATAAAAACATCCGAGGGGTGCCTGGGTGGCTTAGTTGTTAAGCATCTGCCTTCAGCTCAGGTCATGCTCCTTGGGTCTTGGGATGGAGCCCCGCATTGGGAATCCCTGCTTGTCGCGGAGCCTGATTCTCCCTCTCCCACTCCCCGTACATGTGTTCTCTCTCTCTCTCTGTCAAATAAATAAATAAAATCTTTAAAAAATAATAATAAAAAATAAAAATATCCAATTATGTAGATTTCATGAATTTTCTCTTTTTTAGTGAAATAAGTGAAAATAAATATTTTTCAGGGCACCTAGGTGGCTCAGTCGACTGGGCATTCGACTTTTGGTTTTGGCTCAGGTCATGGGATCAAGCCCGGTATCAGGCTCTGTGCTCAGCATAGAGTCTGATTCAGATTCTCTCCTTGTCCCTCCCCCTCTCCCATTCCCTCCGCTCTCTCTCTCAAATAAACTGAATGAATGAAGGAAGAAATAAATAAATAAATAAATAAGAAATATTGTTTAATGAAGCAAGCACGGGAATTTTTACTTCAGAGAATTATAGGGAAAAAACTACCTCAAAAGAAAACAAAAATGGCCACAATGAAGATTTAGATACTGATGGTATGGCTTACCCTCCAGTCCTTTAGAAAGTTCTGATAAACACTAATCAATTAGAACCACTGCAGCCTAAGCTCAAGTTATATGCTTACATTATAAAAGTATCAAAATACATTTATTTAGATGCTACCGAATTCCCTTATATTAAATACCAATTTAAAAAAGCACATCAGCAGAAACACTTTCAACAGAAGGTAATGAATTTTTTGAACTGAGATATTTTCACCATCACCACCATTTTATCTATCAATAAATACTTTGAATTTTTTCTCCAAAATAGATCATGAATCTGTCCACGTCTTATCTCTCCTCTCCACTGCTACTACCTCTCACCTGTACTATGGAAATGGCGTCCTTTCCTGATCGCCCCCTACCCTTACCTCTTAGTCCTAGGACCAATTCACCACACAACAGCTACAAGAATCTTCTCGAATTGTAAATCAGATCACATTGCTCCCTAGTTTAAAGCCCTTCAAAGCCTTCCCACTCAGATGAGAATAAAATCTAAAATCCTCACCTATAGCCTTCCCTGCTACTTTTCCAATCTCATCCTGAGCCACTCTCCAGCCAGAGTGGCCTCTGTTCAGTTCTGTCATCACCAACCTCTTAGCATATCATGTTCCCTCTACCTAGAATGCTCTTTGACAACTGGGTCCTTATCTTCCTTTAAGTCTCGATTTTTATATACGCATCCTTAGAGGAGCCCAATCCTTAATCACCCTGTCTAAGAAGATCCACACCATGCCCCTCTCTACCAAATTACAGAACACAGTTCACCTCCATGATAGCTCTTTTCTCAACTTATAATTACCTATTTATTTTGCTTATTTATCTGTCATTCTTTCCTCTGTTACCTCCATGAGGACAGGGATTATGATATTTACTTACCATGTATACCCAGCTCCTCACACAGAGTGGGTGTTTAATAAATATTTTGATGAATAAATAACTGAATGAAAAAAAAAAACCCAGAAATTTCAAAGTACTTCAGGAAAACTAAATCAATTCCTCCTGAAAGAACTAAACAAATCAACTTCTGATTTTGTAGGGTTAATCTAAGCAAGTCAACTTAAATGAGAAAGAAACAAGCTTACACATTCCTAAAGTCATTAAAGAACCTCCTCTCACATTTGGGTTTTCTGAGATACTATGTTACCTAAGAAATTACAAATGTAAACTTTGTTCCAAACCGAATAGGAAACCAACTGATGACCAAACAAATGGAAAAATGGTATAGCCTACCCACTGACTACTTTATTGCTTTATTAACATTGCTTTAAACAGAGAAACCATGTACTTCCAAATGTAGTCTGACTAAATGCAGGAAGACCGCCAGCACTCACCCTCAGAATGGACTGTACCGTCTGCATGGGATAGGTGACCGTAGTAGCAATCGCCTTGGATATTGCACCAATGATGAACACATCCAAAGAAGAAAGCTGGAAAGCCAAAAGAGAGCAAACCACATCAATCCAAATAACAGAGTATCAGAGATTATTATCTGTTGCTTTCAAAATTAGGGATTACCTTTACTCGTTTCTTTAGAAGCTGCCGTTTTAAACCTTCATAGAACATGAACTGGATGGCAGGATTGAAGACCAACAGCAAGGAAGGAAATGTGCCATTCCATAAAGCCAAGATTCCTTCATCTCGAATGATCTGGTGAAAAGCATCTAAGCAAGAAATCAAGGACTTTTGACTACAATTCCCTAACTGGAAAACACAATGTGAATTTTGTTCAAATGTACCCAAAACACAAATCATAACAGTTCTATTAAAATTTCCTTCATGCAATGATAGTCTAGGGGCATATTCATCAGGTAACTTCTTGATAATCATCAGACACTGACAGTCACATTACTGAGAGACCAACTTAAATTACAGGCAATTCTTCCTGACAATCTGGCATTAGACGGTCAGGTTTTCCTAAGTAATCACCACCACCATGACTGAGAAGTCTGTCTTACAGAGAATTGTGAACTTATAGCCCATGTGTTTCACAGCAAAGCCCAGGACAACAATAGATAGTACCTTGGGATCCATTATTTAGGATATGGCTTCTTAGAAAACCACTATTCTCATTACAAAGATGGACACATGGGAAAGGAGAACCAGGTAACGTGGTATTATTAAGCTAAAAGTCATGAGATATTAATGATAACTTTATCCAAAGACAACATTAAAAGGAATAGTGTAGGGGCGCCTGGGTGGCTCAGTCACTAAACATCTGCCTTCAGCTTAGGTCATGATCCCAGCATCCTGGGATCGAGCCCCATATATCGGGCTCTCTGCTCAGCAGGGAGCCTGTTTCTCCCTCTCCAGCTCCCGCATGGTTGTATTCCATCTCTTGCTACCTCTCTCTGTCATAAATAAATAATATCTTAAAAAAAATAAAACAAAAAGGAACAGTGTAGATTATTCTTTAGAAATCTTGACCCCCTCCTGCCAACACTCTACAAACAGCATACTTCTCTACCTCCTGACGTTGGGTTTGGCCTCTTTGCTAACAAGAGGATGTTAGCAAATGAGAGGCAAACGGGGAGTTTTACAACTGGACGTGTCCTCTTGTGCTTTTGCCATTACCAAGAGAAGAGTATGTGTAGGCTGATCCCAGCCTAGATGAGTCAAATCTTTGTCAATCCACAGACACACAAGCTAAACAAATGCTTACTATTAGACGTGGAGATCTGAGGCCATCTGATATGCAACATTATTGTGGCAATAAATTCCAGACACAGAGAGAAAAGAAACTCCTTAAATAGGAACTCACCCAACAAACACTTACCAATAATACCTTTGTAGTTGGTTGGTACAATGTCTTCATTCCTAAATTTTGCCCCTTGTAGTTTCAGTCTGGTGTTTACCACCCAGAGCGGAGTTGTTAGCAACACGTTCACCACTCCTTTAAGAAGACAAAGGGAAAGCAAAATGTAACCTTGTAAGCTGTTCTGTCTTATGTTAAAGCTACGGACCAATGTTTCATTTATACTTCTGCCAGTGACCTACTGGGAGACCTGAGGTAAGGTGTCGCTCTGTGACAGGGTATAACACAAGCCACTACTGTTAGAAGCAATTCAAAAGCCTTGCTGATAGTAAAATGGCTGGCAGCAGTACCTTTCCACATTTCTATGAAAGGAAATGATTTCCTTGTCAACTTATATAGCATCCAAAGTAGCAATTTTGATCTAGTTCTAAGTATATTTTAAAAATAACAGTTTTAATAAGGCCTACTGATCACATACTAAGTCCATGACAATATCTAATAAAACACGGAATTTGCAACTCTCACGTAAGTAGCTTACATGGTTTTAAGCGAGTATGGGTTTGGTACAATGGGTGACAGGTGGGTGAAAGTGGTGACATTTGAAAGAGCTTCACCAGGGACTAGAGGCTCACAGAAGAGTTCCTCATCACTTAGGGGATTAGGATAGGCAGGCAGCAAGCGGTGGTTATGAACCATCACAAAACGTCTGAAGTAGCTTCGCAAGCATCATGATCCTTACAAGCTTAAGGATGGGGATGTTGGCCCCCCAATGTTGCCTCAGAGTGGAACAATACAATGAGCCAGGTGCTTCTGTTCTGAAAACACATGATCCCAAGTTAACACCATCTTGAGATATTAAAATATTCCTCATCAGTCCTGGAATGATTAAAAAAAGATACCAGATAGAGTTGTAACAAAATGCCTGACACATAGTATATACTCTATAAATATTTGTTAAATAAATATTGAAAAAAATGAACCAATGAACAAACTCAGCAAACAACCACACATCAAGTTATCCAGCTCTAGCCAGGCTTTGAAGAACCAAGAGGCATAATCCTAAGGAAGAGAAATCTTCTTTTACTAAACGTCATTTAAACACAACAAGAGGAAGAATGTTTTGGTTTACGGAATCTCAAAACACACCATTCAAAAAACACAAGTCCAGGGGGCACCTGGGTGGCTCAGTGGGTTAAAGCCTCTGCCTTCGGCTCAGGTCATGATCTCAGGGTCCTGGGATCGAGCCCCACATCGGGCTCTCTGCTCAGCCGGGAGCCTGCTTCCCTCTCTCTCTCTCTCTACCTGCCTCTCTGCCTACTTGTGATCTCTCTCTCTCTGTCAAATAAAAAACAAAAAGCAAAAAACAAAAAAAACACAAGTCCAACCAAAGATAAGCTGGATTAAACAGCCAAGAGATTAAAATCCTATTTTTTCATCTGTGGTATATAGCTGCTAAAGTAAGATAATGTTACCTCTTTCTTTTTTTTTTAATTTATTTATTTTTATTTTTTATAAACATATATTTTTATCCCCAGGGGTACAGGTCTGTGAATCGCCAGGTTTACACACTTCATAGCACTCACCATAGCACATACCCTCCCCAATGTCCATAACCCCACCCCCCTTCTCCTAACCCCCCTCCCCCCAGCAACCCTCAGTTTGTTTTGTGAGATTAAGAGTCACTTATGGTTTGTCTCCCTCCCAATCCCATCTTGTTTCATTTAGTCTTCTCCTACCCCCTTAACCCCCCATGTTGCATCTCCTCTCCCTCATATCAGGGAGATCATATGATAGTTGTCTTTCTCCGATTGACTTATTTCGCTAAGCATGATACCCTCTAGTTCCATCCACGTCATCGTAAATGGCAAGATTTCATTTCTTTTGATGGCTGCATAGTATTCCATTGTGTATATATACATCTTCTTTATCCATTCATCTGTGGATGGACATCTAGGTTCTTTCCATAGTTTGGCTATTGTAGACATTGCTGCTATAAACATTCGGGTGCACGTGCCCCTTCGGATCACTATGTCTGTATCTTTAGGGTAAATACCCAGTAGTGCAATTGCTGAGTCATAGGGTAGTTCTATTTTCAATATTTTGAGGAACATCCATGCTGTTTTCCAGAGTGGTTGCACCAGCTTGCATTCCCACCAACAGTGTAGGAGGGTTCCCCTTTCTCCGCATCCTCGCCAGCATCTGTCATTTCCTGATTTGTTAATTTTAGCCATTCTGATTGGTGTGAGGTGATATCTCATTGTGGTTTTGATTTGTATTTCCCTGATGCCGAGTGATATGGAGCACTTTTTCATGTGTCTGTTGGCCATCTGGATGTCTTCTTTGCAGAAATGTCTGTTCATGTCTTCTGCCCATTTCTTGATTGGATTATTTGTTCTTTGGGTGTTGAGTTTGCTAAGTTCTTTATAGATTCTGGACACTAGCCCTTTATCTGATATGTCGTTTGCAAATATCTTCTCCCATTCTGTCAGTTGTCTTTTGGTTTTGTGAACTGTTTCCTTTGCTGTGCAAAAGCTTTTGATCTTGATAAAATCCCAATAGTTCATTTTTGCCCTTGCTTCCCTTGCCTTTGGCCATGTTCCTAGGAAGATGTTGCTGCGGCAGAGGTCGAAGAGGTTGCTGCCTGTGTTCTCCTCAAGGATTTTGATGGATTCCTTTCTCACATTGAGGTCCTTCATCCATTTTGAGTCTATTTTCGTGTGTGGTGTAAGGAAATGGTCCAATTTCATTTTTCTGCATGTGGCTGTCCAATTTTCCCAACACCATTTGTTGAAGAGGCTGTCTTTTTTCCATTGGACATTCTTTCCTGTTTGTCGAAGATTAGTTGACCATAGAGTTGAGGGTCTATTTCTGGGCTCTCTATTCTGTTCCACTGATCTATGTGTCTGTTTTTGTGCCAGTACCATGCTGTCTTGATGATGACAGCTTTGTAATAGAGTTTGAAGTCCGGAATTGTGATGCCACCAACTTTGGCTTTCTTTTTCAATATTGCTTTGGCTATTTGAGGTCTTTTCTGGTTCCATATAAATTTTAGGATTATTTGTTCCATTTCTTTGAAAAAAAAAATGGATGGTATTTTGATAGGAATTGCATTAAATGTGTAGATTGCTTTAGGTAGCACAGACATTTTCACAATATTTATTCTTCCAATCCAGGAGCATGGAACATTTTTCCATTTCTTTGTGTCTTCCTCAATTTCTTTCATGAGTACTTTATAGTTTTCTGAGTATAGATTCTTAGCCCCTTTGTTTAGGTTTATTCCTAGGTTTCTTATAGTTTTGGGTGCAATTGTAAATGGGATTGACTCCTTAATTTCTCCTTCTTCTGTCTTGTTGTTGGTGTAGAGAAATCCAACTGATTTCTGTGCATTGATTTTATATCCTGACACTTTACTGAATTTCTGTACAAGTTCTAGCAGTTTTGGAGTCTTTTGGGTTTTCCACATATAGTATCATATCACCTGTGAAGAGTGATAGTTTGACTTCTTCTTTGCCGATTTGGATGCCTTTAATTTCCTTTTGTTGTCTGATTGCTGAGGCTAGGACTTCTAGTACTATGTTGAATAGCAGTGGTGATAATGGACATCCCTGCTGTGTTCCTGACCTTAGTGGAAAAGCTTTCAGTTTTTCTCCATTGAGAATGATATTTGCGGTGGGTTTTTCATAGATGGCTTTGATAATATTGAGGTATGTGCCCTCTATCCCTACACTTTGAAGAGTTTTGATCAGGAAGGGATGCTGTACTTTGTCAAATGCTTTTTCAGCATCTATTGAGAGTATCATATGGTTCTTGTTCTTTTTTTTTATTAATGTGTTGTATCCCATTGATTGATTTGCGGATGTTGAACCAACCTTGCAGCCCTGGAATAAATCCCACTTGGTCGTGGTAAATAATCCTTTTAATGTATTGTTGAATCCTATTGGCTAGTATTTTGGTGAGAATTTTCGTATCTGTGTTCATCAAGGATATTGGTCTGTAGTTCTCTTTTTTGATGGGATCCTTGTCTGGTTTTGGGATCAAGGTGATGCTGGACTCATAAAATGAGTTTGGAAGTTTTCCTTCCATTTCTATTTTTTGGAACTGTTTCAGGAGAATAGGAATTAGTTCTTCTTTAAATGTTTGGTAGAATTCCCCCGGGAAGCCGTCTGGCCCTGGGCTTTTGTTTGTTTGGAGATTTTTGATGACTGTTTCAATCTCCGTACTGGTTATGGGTCTGTTCAGGTTTTCTACTTCTTCCTGGTTCAGTTGTGGTAGTTTATATGTCTCTAGGAATGCATCCATTTCTTCCAGATTGTCAAATTTGTTAGCGTAGAGTTGCTCATAGTATGTTCTTATAATTGTCTCTATTTCTTTGGTGTTAATTGTGATCTCTCCTCTTTCATTCATGATTTTATTTATTTGGGTCCTTTCTCTTTTCTTTTTGATAAGTCTGGCCAGGGGTTTATCAATCTTATTAATTCTTTCAAAGAACCGGCTCCTAGTTTCGTTGATTTGTTCTATTGTTTTTTTGGTTTCTATTTCATTGATTTCTGCTCTGATCTTTATGATTTCTCTTCTCCTGCTGGGTTTAGGGTTTCTTTCTTGTTCTATCTCCAACTCCTTTAGGTGTAGGGTTAGGTTGTGTACCTGAGACCTTTCTTGTTTCTTGAGAAAGGCTTGTACCGCTATATATTTTCCTCTCAGGACTGCCTTTGTTGTGTCCCACAGATTTTGAACTGTTGTGTTTTCATTATCATTTGTTTCCATGAATTTTTTCAATTCTTCTTTAATTTCCTGGTTGACCCATTCATTCTTTAGAACTATGCTGTTTAGTCTCCATGTATTTGGGTTCTTTCCAAATTTCCTCTTGTGATTGAGTTCTAGCTTCAGAGCATTGTGGTCTGAAAATATGCAGAATGATCCCAATCTTTTGATCCGGTTGAGATCTGATTTAGGACCAAGGATGTGATCTATTCTGGAGAATGTTCCATGTGCACTAGAGAAGAATGTGTATTCTGTTGCTTTGGGATGAAATGTTCTGAATATATCTGTGATGTCCATCTGGTCCAGTGTGTCATTTAAGGCCTTTATTTCCTTGTTGATCTTTTGCTTGGATGATCTATCCATTTCAGTGAGGGGAG